CAGGGTGCTGTTTGGGTGCACCCAGGGCATCCCGTACAGGACCCAGAACATGCAGTTGATTAGGGTGGTCAAGTATGGAGTTGCTGAGTACTGCTCTGCTGCCCCTTTTTCGCAAATTCGAATAAAAGTAGGACTGCAAAGTAAATATACATATATCATGAGTCATGACATTAATTAACTAATACAGTTTTGATCGACATGTATATGTACACAAAGGGAGAAAAAACAAAAAAAAAAAAGCTTACAGTGGTGACAAGAAGAGGAAAAGTGAAAAATGTTCCCTGAAATTCAAATCCCAAAATCAGTTGGAAAATTAATTAGAAAGAATCAGGGATCAAATCTAAAAGACATATTTCTTTCTGAACATTAGTTCGCCAATGAATATATAATTAAAAACGTATATATATATATATACCAATGACCCCAACAACATTTCAAGCAATTGCAACTGAAACCATGACTAATTAAAGTGGAGATGATCAAGCCAATTATAAAGGGAGAAGAGGGGCAAGGAATTAATTAAGATTGCAAGATATATATTAACACCGACACAAAGATAGATATAAATCCCCTAATTACATTCACCTCTGTATTTATATACCCACTTTTTTTTCGAGGGGTATAACAGCCCCTCAAATTTAAATCAATTGCTTAGGCTTTGATTTTGATTTGATTTGATCTGGGTGGTTGTTGAAGCTAATTGGTTGAACCACCTCACACATAGATATATACTTCCTCCACCAAACTTTACATTACTCTTTAGTGAACAAATGGGAACCTTCTAAGTATGATTCATTGAAAAAAAAAATGTACTGAATTGATTGAGTATACAAACACATCTTATTAGCTAAGGACAAATACAAAACAGCGTAAATTAGACATTGGAGCGTGCTTTCAAGTTATAATAACTATGACATGAATGAGTTGAGAGTTAAAAGATGATTGAAGGCCAGCTTTAGGATCCCCGGAAGATGCTGCCACAACTCCCATCCCACGGCCAACTGATTCCTTAAACGCAACTTTGTCACCATCTAATTGTTTCACGAGATGATCCATCTACCGGAATTGATATGGTCATCTTGCATTGTACAGGAACTGACGCTGATCAAACCTATTAACCTCTGGTGAATAACTCTGCAACAAGGAATTCAAAATTAACTTCTTTTGTCTTTCTATTCTTCAAACAACCATCAAGTACGTACAGTAGTTATTTAGTTCCACACACCTCAGCATGGTACAGGAAGGTGTTAATACAGTCATTTTGTGTCGGTTGATGGAATAATATTTGAAGAAGTGTTTCACTTTTTCAGTTACCTCTGATGGACTTAGTCTGTCACCCCATCTATAGCACAGATTCTGCAACACCCAACATTGTTAACTGACTAACTGCGAAAAACCAACACAAGGAAGGAGCAGAATTCCACCGTCTAAAACTCACACATAAAAAACATCCACGCCATCATATAATTCAACATGCCAATACATAATATATCACAAGTTTTAGGGGCAACAATTCCCTAACTGGACACAACATCTCATTTTTCAAGTGGAAGTTGGAGTCACTCAAGTATGGAAAATGATGCTTCTAAATACTACTTAAAAAAATTAATTTCACGAGAAACAATAGGCTTATTCTATTCTATATCAAACCTTGAACATTGATACAGGACCGCAACGGAAAATTTTCCACAATCTTCCATATATAGACAGATAGTTCCTCATATGTCATTCCCATGTCCACTTCATCCAACTGTTTCATCCGGAATGTAGTATTAGCAACATATGAAACAATACCGCTAGAAACTTCAATTCAAAAACTATTGTGCTAGTTTATTGGGAGATCTGAGACCTGGCTGTAGTTAGAACGTATAGGCTCCAGTTCAGCAGCGGGTGGAGCTGCTTTTCAATGTCTGCCAAGGATGAATATCCAACCTGCCATTAAGCAAAGAAATAAAAGAACTAAATTTAGACTTTTACACATGCAACCTTTCTCTCTTGATGGTTTTTAATAAAATGTAACATACAATAAGGGAGCAAGCCAATTTGTTTCAATAGAGGAAATCTTATGCATGGCTATCATGAATATGTGATAAGCCTTGAATAATTATCCTCACAACAAATCTTTCATCAAATGTCCACTTTTCATAGCAAGGAAGCATGAATTTCTTTTCCCCCTGACTTAGGCTTGATGGTCAGATATTTAAAAAATGCAAACTTAGCATACCGCATCAAGATCTACTTGAGCAACCACCACTATAGATTTCCAAAAATCCTAGATATTAAATCTTTTGTATGGTTAAAAAATAAAGTGACAAGTTGTGGATTCATTTATCAAGACTAAACATTAAGACTTGTGGAATGTCGAAAAAGTCTGGTGCAACATCGCAACAATTTGAGAAGTTATAAGTTGCTGAATAGGATTAGATGTTGATTTGCTTTTACATCTTTTTTCCTGGAACTAATTTTGTCAACTCTCGATTTCTTTCTCAGTATGTAATAGGTTTGCATCTAGTTTCAAGGACTTAGAGTTGTATTGTCTTTAAGGAGTATTGTTTATACTCCTTTATTAATAAATTATTCATTTGGTTTGACTGATCAAAAAAAAGAAATCAAGGTTTAGTGTTGATGCGAAGACGATGACAGGGAAGATTAGAATTTAGAAGAAGCCAAACCCTACATCTCCAAAAAGAAAAAATGGTGGCTTATTATTCATGCTTTTTTTTTTTTTCCCGTTCAATTAGTGGGGCTCACTATACATGTGGCAGCCATATCATCAAAAACATCCATATCAGATTAAATGAGTCATGTCATGTCCACCTTGATGCTCTTGTGCCACGTAATGCCTTAGATGATAGAATTTAACATGCATATGACTAACACGTGATCCTACATATTTTAAAGTTTTTTGTGGTTTATAAATTATAAAATGTGTTAATTGGAAGGAAAATTAATTTAAAGGTTAAAACCCTATTTTGGTCCCTGAACTATTGTACGGACCCCCGATTTGGTCCCTGAACTAAAAAAATCCCTGATTTGGTCCCTACTGTTTACTATTTTTACTTCGATTTGGTCCTTCCGTTAAAATCTCACCGTTATCTCACGACAATTTAATGACATGGCAAACATTTGAGACACATCAGTTGTATAAATGAATAAATAATGACATGGCAACGTGACATGTCATGTTTTTGCCCAACCCAACAAAAGTGGAGCCCACCAAAATTACGAATTTGCCATCATCTTCTTCCTCCAACAAACAAACCCAGCACCAAACAAACCCAGCACCTGGGTTGAATCGAACCCAACAATGCCCTTTTTTTTTCTTTCCTTGCCTTGCTTTCTTCATCATCATCAAACACATCATCATCAAACACCAAACCCACAGTCATCAAACACCAAACCCATAGTCATCAAACACCAAACTCACAGAAAAAAAATATATTTTTTTTACCCCTGGGTTCGAGGAACCCAGGTGTGTTGGGTTCTTCGAACCCACGCCTGGGTTCGACGGAACCCAGGGTTGGGTTCCATGGAACCCAGCACTTGGGTTCCTTCGAACCCAGAGCCTGGGTTCCTTAGAACCCAACCCCTGTTGGGTTCCATGGAACCCAGCTGGTTCGCTGGTGGGTTCCAAGGAACCCAGGCGTGGGTTCCATGGAACCCAACCCAGGCAAGCGTGCTGGGTTCGCAAGGAACCCAGCGCCTGGGTGGGTTCGAAGGAACCCAAGCCTGTTGGGTTCCGAGAGGAAAGAGAAGGGAAAGGGGAAGGAGAAAGGGAAAGGGAAAGGAGAAAGAAAAAAGAAAAAAAAATTTTTAATTTTATTTTTCATAATATTTTTTTATATTATTGTTTTTTCCACATCATCACTTTTTGGCTATATTATCTTACACGTGGATCACTGCATGACATGTCATTAGGTAACCGTGAAATAACAGGCCACGTCATACAATTTTTAACGGAAGGACCAAATCGAGGTAAAAATGGTAAACAATAAGAACCAAATCAGGGATTTTTTTAGTTCAGGGACCAAATCGGGGGTCCATACAATAGTTCAGGGACCAAAAAGGGGTTTTAACCTAATTTAAAGTGTTTACTATGAAAAGAAAAAATGTCTAAGGGCTACATAAAGGGGTTTGGCCAAAAAAATATACATACATGGTTTGAGATAGGACTTATATTAAATGGGCTAAAATATACATTTAACCCTCACCTTAATAAGCTTAAAGGTTTTAACCTCCACTATAAAGTTTTTAGCCCCTTAACTTCAAGATTCGAAGATTTTAGCTCTTAAATTAACAAAATTTGTTAATCATCTTTAAAGTGAAAATAAAATAATTATAAAATCAATCATTAAAAATTAAAAATATAACAATTTAGTTCTAAAAGTCTACAAATTTTAAAAAAAATAGTAAATTAAAAATAATTAGGAAATGTCTTTGCTACATACATGAGAATAATATTAAGTATTTACAATTAAATCAAGTGATTATCTTAATCTAAATAAAGAAATGTGATTAAGATTAAAGAAAATTTTTTTAACTATATTCTTCTAGTCTTTTAGAGATTCTATCTTAATTTAATTAAGAAATTTTCTTTAATCTCAATCAGAATTCTTTTTTCAAATTGAACTAATCACTTGATTTGATTGTAAATATTTAATATTGTTTTTATATATGTGATAAAAACATCCACTAATTATTTTTAATTTACTAATTTTTTTTAATTTTAAACTTTTAAAACTAAATTATGATATTTATAATTTTTGAGGATTGATCTTGTATATGTTATTTTCATTTTAACGCAGAGTGAGTTAATAGATTTTGTTAGTTTATGGGCTAAAATCTTTAAATATTTAAGTTTATGGGTTAAAAACTTTATAATAAGATGAGGGGTTAAAATTTTCAAATTTAATAAAGTAGAGGGCTAAACACATACTTTAACCTATTAAATGAGAGTAGCTATAAGGAAAACGTGCTGGGTTATTATCACTATTAAATTTGTTAAAATCAATTTATCAACTTATATGTCTTTTTTTTAAAATAATTAGTTATGATATTTCAAAATATCTATTTATAAACTGATTTCAATTTACTAAATAATAAATATTAATTATTTCATTAATAATTAACTATTTTTAACCATCAAATTAAAATAAAAACTTGATAATTTTTTTTATAATCTTAATAAATTTAATGATAGCTATTCAACCATAACCTAATGAGAAAGAGAAAATAACTGCACCTTTAGTATATATAGACACAGCCTGTGTGACACAGGCACAGCAGTTGTTCGAGACAAAAATTTATATATATGGTAACAAAAAAAAGACATATAGTGCAATTTACTGTTTCAAATTGGTCATATTAACTCTAATGATAATGAGAAAAGCATGGACATGAAGCAACGTGCCTTGAACTTGGAGACTTTTGCACACAGAATTCCATTAACGACGACGTTGAGCGATCGACAGATATAGACAAAGCAGAAAACATTATCTCCATGTGATGATGATAAAGGAGTCAACCATGAATGGATATAAGAGCACCGAACGGAAGGGCTTTTGACTATGTTACTCTTTGCCTTACAAACTGAGATGGTTACGGGTTTGGGGTACCCCTTGTACTCTGTAGCAATAAATATTATTTTGCTTTTCAAAAAAAAAAAAAAAAATGAATGGATATAAGAGCACTGCAGGTCATAAATGTTAGAGGGCGAAAGTCTCCAACTTTTCAAGAAATCAAGGAATGAAAAACAGAGGTTCAAAAGGATTCAAGTCTTTTCATTATTTCCATGTGTTCCAACTTATATAGCCTCCTCTTGTCATTTAGTAGATTCGAACTTTGAAGTTTTTGTGTCTCCCACGGATCAAGCTGGTTATAATGCTCTCTATCGTAAGAATTTAAGATGGATACTTGGTACTAGGACCTACTTCCTTGGAAAATGATTGATATATTACTTTGATTTAAAGTGATGAAGAGTCCTGTCGTCACTGTTAATTTCTACAGAAATTTCATCTATTCTGTTGTTGTTCTTCTTCTTTTTCCTTTAAAAAAAAAAAAAAAAAGGAGAATTAGTAATGTGATGAATTAATTTGCTGCTAGTATTAATTATATTATATCACCCTCCTCTAATGGATACTACTATGTTTGGGAATGGAAAGTCTCAGATCTTCAGTATCTGCGAGGACCATCAGTATTATTCTTGAGTTTATGTCTGATATACCAACCCTACCATGTATTTCATTAATTGAATATCTAAGTAATTAAGAAGTTGATTTTTGTCTTTTTTGTGATTCCAGCTTTAAAACAAACAGTAGTGGGGGTGATCACTGTGATTCTAATTACGTATTATATTATTAGAAGGAATTTGTTCAGACAAAAAGTGAAAATGATAACCATATCAGGATATCCCAGTCCCAGAGTTGCATACATATAATGTCAGCTTTTGGAAGAGAAAAAAACCTTCTTTTTTTTTTTTATGAGTCCGGAATAACAAATAGTGGGTATGAAAAAATTTGAATATATTTCCAGAAACAGAGGCATCTTGGCTCAAAATTCAATCTTTTTTCCTTTTTCGGTAAGATGGTTAGATGAATCGAATTCGCGTGAACAGAAGAGGGTAGCTAGGTTGCCCTGATCACTTTTTGGAGTGATGAGTAAGTGGAGAAGAAACAGAAGTAAACGTGAAGAGCTGTAATGATTCCAAATCCAATATTTGCAGCACAAAAATGGAAATGGTGGAAACATTTAAACTCCTACTGCTCCCCGAGCCCGAGTGAAGGTCACAGTCCATGTCACCTGAGTCCTAATTAAGTCCTGACCGCCTTATTTAATTTGGTTTTCTATTAAATTACTAACACACCGCCTCCTCTTGATCTAATTCTACTAGTAGTAGTAGTAGAAGAGTAATTTGCCTGATTTGATGGTGATGCTTGATTCTCTACTAATTAATATCTCATTTTTACTTAGGGATTATATTATATTAAATTTTTCTAAGAGGCAGACCCATATGTATATATATATATATATATATCTCTTCAAAAAGGGGTGAATGGTTATTAATGATTTTTCTCTTCTCTCGTGTCTCGCTCATTAGGAGATAAACTATTGCACCAACAACAAGAAAACAAAACAAAATGAGAGAAGAAAAGTGTTAATATATATGAAAAATTATTTTATAATATGAACTGTTTTAAATTATAAAATAATAATTTTTAGATGAAGATAAAATTTTTTGGTATTGAATCTTTTTATTTAGTAATATTTATTTTATAATTTAAGATAATTTAAATTATAAACCAATAAATTTTAATATATATATATATCTATACGATACAAGTTGTTCCTAATCAAATGAAAATAATTATGGTGAAAACCCACATTGTATGGCTCAAAATTGTTTGTGGAAGGAGAGCGTGCG